GAGAGGGGGCAATGGGGTGCTCCAGGCAGAGAGGGGAAAATGGGGTGCTCCAGGCAGAGAGGGGGCAATGGGTGCTCCAGGCAGAGAGGGGGAAATGGGGTGCTTTAGGCAGAGAGGGGGCAATGGGGTGCTCCAGGCAGAGAGGGGGCAATGGGGGTGCTCCAGGCAGAGAGGGGGCAATGGGGTGCTCCAGGCAGAGAGGGGGCAATGGGGTGCTCCAGGCAGAGAGGGGGCAATGGGTGCTCCAGGCAGAGAGGGGGCAATGGGGTGCTCAGGCAGAGAGGGAGCAATGGGGGTGCTCCAGGCAGAGAGGGGGAAATGGGGTGCTCCAGGCAGAGAGGGGGCAATGGGGGTGCTCCAGGCAGAGAGGGGGTAATGGGGGTTTTCCAGGCAGAGAGGGGGCAATGGGGGTGCTCCAGGCAGAGAGGGGGCAATGGGGTGCTCCAGGCAGAGAGGGAGCAATGGGGGTGCTCCAGGCAGAGAGGGGGAAATGGGGTGCTCCAGGCAGAGAGAGGGCAATGGAGTGCTCCAGGCAGAGAGGGGGAAATGGGGTGCTCAGGCAGAGAGGGAGCAATGGGGGTGCTCCAGGCAGAGAGGGGGCAATGGGGTGCTCCAGGCAGAGAGGGGGCAATGGGGGTGCTCCAGGCAGAGAGGGGGTAATGGGGGTTTTCCAGGCAGAGAGGGGGCAATGGGGGTGCTCCAGGCAGAGAGGGGGCAATGGGGTGCTCCAGGCAGAGAGGGAGCAATGGGGGTGCTCCAGGCAGAGAGGGGGAAATGGGGTGCTCCAGGCAGAGAGGGGGCAATGGGGTGCTCCAGGCAGAGAGGGGGCAATGGGGTGCTCCAGGCAGAGAGGGGGCAATGGGGTGCTCCAGGCAGAGAGGGGGAAATGGGGTGCTCCAGGCAGAGAGGGGGCAATGGGTGCTCCAGGCAGAGAGGGGGCAATGGGGTGCTCCAGGCAGAGAGGGGGCAATGGGGTGCTCCAGGCAGAGAGGGGAAAATGGGGTGCTCCAGGCAGAGAGGGGGCAATGGGTGCTCCAGGCAGAGAGGGGGAAATGGGGTGCTTTAGGCAGAGAGGGGGCAATGGGGTGCTCCAGGCAGAGAGGGGGCAATGGGGGTGCTCCAGGCAGAGAGGGGGCAATGGGGTGCTCCAGGCAGAGAGGGGGCAATGGGGTGCTCCAGGCAGAGAGGGGGCAATGGGTGCTCCAGGCAGAGAGGGGGCAATGGGGTGCTCCAGGCAGAGAGGGGGAAATGGGGTGCTCCAGGCAGAGAGGGGGCAATGGGGTGCTCCAGGCAGAGAGGGGGCAATGGGGTGCTCCAGGCAGAGATGGAGATGGCATGCTAGCATCTTCCATCACACACACACACACACACACACACACACACACACACAGAGAGGGTGACACCAGGAGAATTTAGTTCCAGAAGTTTCTTCTAGCCAGTGAGGCTGCTCAGTCATGGGGACAGAGTGCGCCTCAAACCCCACGTGTGCACCCTGGCCCCAGCACACACGTACACACACACATGTGTACACACACACACACACACACACACACACACATACAAGCACAAACCCCACGTGTGCACCCTGGCCCCAGCACACACGTACACACACACATGTGTACACACACACACACACACACACATACAAGCACAAACCCCATGTGTGCACCCTGGCCCCAGCACACACGTACACACACACATGTGTACACACACACACACACACACATACAAGCACAAACCCCACGTGTGCACCCTGGCCCCAGCACACACGTACACACACACATGTGTACACACACACACACACACACATACAAGCACAAACCCCACGTGTGCACCCTGGCCCCAGCACACACGTACACACACACATGTGTACACACACACACACACACACAAGCACACACCATTTCCCACCGCTCAGGATCTCCCCAGCAGGCTCGCTCCTGCACAGAAACCCCAACAGCCCCGGGTGGAGCAGCGTTGGGGCGGAAGCGGGAGAGGCGGGGTGAGGTGGGGCCACTCCTGCCTCTCCTCTGACAGGACCAGCGGGGCGGCTGGGAGACCTCGCACCCCCCACCTCCCGCCCCGGGCTTGTCTCCTCCCACACCCTCCGCCCTCTGGCTGCCTCGCACCTTGCCTGCCCTCCCGCTGGGAGCCTCAGGGACCCCCCTCAGCGCTGGGCAGAGATCCTGACCAGCCCCCAGCTGTGACCTTGGGCAGGTCACTACGCCTCTCTGTGCCTCGGTTTTGCAGCTATAAGATGGGGGTACAGGGATACCTACTACCGCCCAGAGGTGTCGGGGATGAACATCTAAAGCATGTAGGGAGTGCCAGCTGTGCTTATGAACGTGATTTATTAACGTCCTAATATCTAACACGCCGTCTCCATCTCGTCCCCAGTTAACCGTTCCCGAGCTTCCTCCTCTGCACCAGTGGCAGAAGGGCCGGGCACAGGCATGCACCGAGCACTCTCCGTGTGCCCGCCACTGTGCCCAGCACGTCCCTGGCTTGTCAGAGTCGAGCCTTCCTTCCCAGGACACCAAGAGCCCTCCACTGGGGTCAGAGGAGATGGCCCGAGTCCCACAGCAGCAAAGCAACAGAAATGGGAAACAAAGGTGAGGGCCCTCCACCCCCCACGGCCACCCCGCTCCTCAGGGAGAAAACGTGGGCAAGCAGGACCCTGGCTCTCTTCCCGCGTCGCTGGGGCCATTCGAACGGGGCACCAGCAAGCGGAATTCTGGGTACTGAGCGTCCTGCTTTCTGCGTCAGCAAACAAGCTACCCACGGCGTCCCAGGCTCTCCAGGCCGAGGGGACAGCTGCTGCCGGGCTAATGGGGTGAGTTTAGACATCGGGCTGCTCATGTGGCTTCTATAAACGTCCCTGAGTGCCCACCCTGGGTCCCTCTATGCCATCCATTGCCCCTTTCCTAGTGGACATGCTTCGGCCACAGCTGTGGGAGAGGCAGGCCCATGTGCCCGGTCGGCCTGACCTCCCTGGCCACAGCTGACTGGCCTGGATCTGAACACCAGACCGGGGACTTGGTGGGGGGGTGCTGGATGCTAAATGGCTCAGGGATGGAGGGGCTTGAGCTGAAAGGCACAAGGCAGGCAGGGCTGAGGTCTCCAAAGAGAAGAATCCCGTGGCTCACACACACACACAGTGTGATGAGTGCCTCCTAGGTACCCCGCCCAGCTTTAGGTGCACAGAAAACAGGACAAAACAGCAAAGGCCTGTCTCATGGAGCTCGGCCTGCAAACTACCAAACAGATAGCAAACAGAATGATGTTAGGTTGTATTGGTGCTATCGAAAAATAGCAGTGGGCTGAAGAGTGCCTGAAGTGTGCAAATTTAGACCAATTGACTAAGGAAGCCTCCCTGCACAGAGGCCTGAGTGAGCCAGCCATGTGAGTGTTCCAGGCAGGGACACAGCAGGTGCAAAGGCCCTGGGGTAGGGTTGAGCTTGCAGTGTTCAAGGAACAGAAAGGAGGCCGTGTGGCAGGATGTCAATGGCATCTGTAAGTCAGAGAGAAGCTCCACCATGTGACTCCTTGGATTGAAAGCCTCCCATGGGTCCAGCAGAGTCCGCCCCCTCAACACTGCCCCTCAGACTCCTCAGACTCAGTCCTGGGGCCTTTTGCTTTCCTTCCACTGAAGGCATCAGTGCTTGTCCAATCACTCCCCAGAGATAAGAATTTGGGTAAAATAGCTTATTTAGGAGGTGGTCCCAGAAAATACGCTAACTGTCCACACATCCATCATCCACCCATGCATGCACGCATGCATCCATCATCCATCCAATCATCCATTATCCATGCATCTATCCATCCATCATCCATCCATTCATCCATCACCCATACATCATCCATTCATCACCCACCCACACATGTATCCACCCATCCAATCATCCATGTATCTATCCATCCATCATCCATCCAATCACCCATTACCCATAAATCTATCCATCCATCATCCATCCAATCATCCATGTATCCATCCACCCATCATCCATCCATCCATCATTCATCACCCATCCACACATTCATCCACCCATCCAATCATCCATCATCCATGCATCTATCCATCCATCATCTATCCAATCATCCAGGCACCTATCCATCCATCATCCATCCATCCATCACCCATCCATCATCCATCCAATCACCAATTACCCATGCATCTATCCATCCATAATCCATCCAATCATCCATGCATCTATCCATCCATCATCCATCCATCCATTCATCCATCCATCACCCATACATCATCCATCCTATCACTCATTTCCCATGCATCTATCCATCCACCATCCATCCAATCATCCATGCATCTATCCATCCATCATCCATCCAACCATCATCCATCCAATCACCCATTACCCACGCATCTATCCATCTATGCATCCATCCAATCATCCATACATTTATCTACCCATCCCACCCACACATGCATCCACCCATCCAATCCTCCATCCTCCATGCATCTATCCATCCATCATCCATCCAATCATCCATTATATATGCATCCATCCATCCATCCATCCAACCAACCATTCAACCAACCACCTACCACTTATTGTCACCTCCCCTATCCCCAGCAGACACCAAGGACTCAGGTGATCAGGTTTGGTCCTGGCCCTCTGCCAGGACCCGTCACCAACCCCCCTGCTGGGTCCTCTTCTCATGCAGTGTTGTGACCAAGTCCAGGATGGAGACCTTGGTCCCGCCTCTGTGTGGTTCTACGAGGTCTGGACTCAAAGGCAAACGCTCCAACTTGATCCCCTTCCCGCTCACTTCCCGCTCTGATCGCCTGAGCTCAAGGCCAGTCACACGGCCCATCAACATGAGGACTCCCCAGACGTTCTCACATCGTGGAGTCCACACTGCACCTCACCCAACCTGCCTTCCCCTGCCCCCTGCACCTCTGGCGGACCTCTCCGTCCAGTGCTGCCGGGAGCCTGTGGCCACGAGGCCAGGCCCCGGCCGGAGGCATCCCGTGCACTGACCTCTCCCGGAAGTACTTGATGGCCTCGGGCTCGGTGAAGGTCGGCTCCTCCCGGTAGCCCTGCTCAAACACCTTGCGCTTGTGGCGGAACTCGATGACCGTCTTGGTGTAGGAGTTGAGCGTGGTCACGGAGGCGGCCATGCAGCAGGTGAAGGAGCCCCACGCCAGGCTGCGGAGACAGGAGAGAGGTGCCCGTGAGCAGCTGCTGCCGGGCTAATGGGGCCGCTCCCCGGCTCGCTGCCTCTTTGGGGCCAGGCTTAAGCAAGTGCCGCCTGGCCAAGAACAGGACACAGTCCTGCCCCCTCGAGGGCTGAGGTGGGAGCAGCATTATCTGCACCGAGTGATGCAGGCCTGGCCGAGCCCATCCCTCAGGGGCAAGATGCAGGGCCAACACAGGGCGGGTACCACAGCCTCAGACAGCGACGTGTGTTGGGTCTGAGCCGTGGCCGACCAGGAAGGGTTTGTGGAGGGGGGCTGGGACGCTGGGGGAAGGGAATGCGAGGAGATGAGTGGAGGTTGATGGTGAGGATAATGGCAGCAGGAAGCCTGGAAGCCAGGCCCTGTGGGAGCGGAGTGACCTGTGCTCCTGTGTGACCTTGGGCAAGATGCTGCCTCTCAGCCTCGTGATCCTCGCATCCGTCTTAATGGCATCGCAGGGGCCACACCTCACAGCACGGTTGCAGAGGAAAGCAGCTGGCCCGGAGGGCCGCTCGGAACAGAGCTGCATGCAGTCTGTGTCTCAGAAAGGCTGGCTAACATGACCACCATCGCCATCAGCACCGTTTTCCCTGACTGCGTCTACCTGACTCAGCTTTCACCCCAGTGGGATGTGAGCAGGAGTCCTGGGGACTGTCCCAGCACCCAGACCCTGAGAAGGAAGCAAGGAGGAAGGACCAGATCCCTGGGCTAAGCAGTACCCGGGCTTCTCAAGTGTGGGGACCCAAATTCCGTTTTCAGATTTCCCCCCCCTCCCCCAATTAAGGAATTGGGTTTCTGTCAGTGGCAAAGTCCTTCTACCATTACTTCCCATAAACCCCCCTTTTTGCATTCGTTTGTTTGAATGTCTGGGCCTTAGGACCAGGGATCTTACCTGTGAGGGGGTCCAGCTCCCCACTTGGATGCCAGTGGGAGAAGGAGACCCACTGCCCTCCCGCCCCGTCCTTCTCTGTGGCTTTCCCCCTCTGACTCATTATGCCAGGTTTTTACGTTACACTTTTTAAAAATATATATACTTTATTGATTTTTTACAGAGAGGAAGGGAGAGAGATAGAGAGCTAGACACGTTGATGAGAGAGAAACATAGACCAGCTGCCTCTTGCACACCCCCTACCGGGGATGTGCCCACAGCCAACGTACAAGCCCTTGACCGGAATCGAACCAGGGACCTTTCGGTCCACAGACCGACGCTCTACCACTGAGCCAAACCGGTTTCGGCTTACATTACACTTTTAATGTCAAGGTAATTACAGGCCCACAAGCTGCTGTGGGAAATGATGCGGGGGACCCAGGCACCCTCTCCCCCGTTTCCCCAGCGGCAACATCTCACAAATCCCCTGCAGTGTGTACCAGGGTCCCCACAGGCACCGGGACAGCCAGCACCGGGCCCAACAGGGGCATCGCACAGCCGCACCCACGTTCCCCCCAACCTCTTCCTTCCGATAATCGTATCATTTCCAGAATTTACGGAAGAGGCTCACACAGGGTGTGTGGGATACAGAATAGTCCCCGGGAGGGCCACGCACGTTGTGTGTTTAACATCATGTTCCTTTACATGCAGGAGTTTCTCCACATCCGCACCAGCACTGGGTGGTGTCATTATTTTTTAAACTTTTATTTATGTCTTTATTTATTTGTTTCCCAATATGTTATTTTTTTTGGTTTTGAGAGAGAGGGGAGCTTTCAGGGCAGGGACGATGCTCAGCCCACTGAGCCCCCCCGCCAGGCCTGTAGTGTTCTCCATCGGAGCTGCTCTGCGGGCGTGTGGTGGCCTCTCCCCTGCGGCTCCACCGCTGGCCCTCACGGCTAATGGCGTTGGGCATCCTTTCATTTGCTAACTTGCCGTCTGGGAATCGTCTCTGGCAAAACGTCTGCTCCGATTTCCTGACCGCTTTGTCATTGCTGTTGTTTTCCGTTGCGTTCTGAGCCTGTCCGTGCAGCCTGCAGACCAGTCCTTCGTCAGGTACGTGGTTTGCAAATATCTTCTTTCCGTTCGCAGCTCGTGTCTTCAACCCCTCACCAAGGTCCTTCACCGAGCAAAAGGATTTCATGATGATGAAATCCAATTATCAATCATTTTTTTCCAATGCTTTTGATGTCAAGTCTAAGAACTCTTTGCCTAGATCCCCAAGATTTTTCTCCTATTTTTTTTTTCTAAAAAGTTTATAGGTTTACATTTTTAGTTTAAGTCTATGATGCAACTTGAGTTAAATTTTATACAGGATATGAAGCATAGATCAAGAATGATTTTTTTTTTTTTTTTTTTTTTTTTTTGCCTGTGAATGTCTAATAGCTCCAGTGCCATTTGTTGAAAGGCTATTCCCACCTCCACTGAAGGAATTTGCATCTTTGTCAAAAACCAGTTGGGCATATTTGTGTGGGTCTATTTCTGGATTCTTCGCTCTGTTCCATTGGTCTGGGTGTCTCTCTCCCCACCAACACCACAGCGTCTGAAGACTGTAGCTATACAATAAATCTTCAAATCGAGTACACTGATTCCTCCCGATTTTTCTTCTTTGTCAAAATTGTTTTAGCTATTTTAGTTTCCCTTGCCATTCTTTTGTTGTTATTAATCCTCTCCCGAGAATATTTTTCCATTGATTGTTAGAAGGAGCAGGAGGGAGGGGGAAAGACACAGAGATAGAAACATCGACGTGAGAGAGACAAACCGATTGATTGCCTCCCATAGTTATCCTGACCGGGGCTGGGGATTGAGTCTGCAACTGAGGTACGTGCCCTGGACTGGAATTGAAGCTGAGACCCTTTAGTTGCAGGCCGAGGCTCTATCCAGCGAGCCAAACCAGGTAGAAAATTTTGCCATTGTTAATAAATTTTATCATACTGACATATTAATAGGAATTGCATTAAACCTGTATATGAATTTGTGGGACATTGAAATCTTTATCATAAACATGGTTGTTGTTTTTTTACATTTATTTAGATCGTCTTTCATTGGCATTTTGTAGTTTTCAGCCTTCAAATCCTGAAGATGTTTTGTTAGATTTATTACTATGTATTTCACTTGTTTCAGCGTAAATGGTATTGTATATTTAGTTTTGTCCAACTACTCATTGCTAGCTTACTAGAGGCCCAGTGCATGAATTTGTGCACTGGTGGGGTCCTGCTGGCCTGCCCTGATGGGGGCCATTGGGGGTGGGCCGGCTAGGGTGAGGGGCCACAGGCATTCCGGTCGTTCTGCCATTTGGTCGATTTGCATACTACCCTTTTATTATATAGGATTATTACATAGGATAATAGATTTTTGTAGTTCAAATTAGTATCCTGAAATAGTACTGAATTCATTTATTAGGTCTAGGCATTTTTTAAAAATTTATTTTTATTGATTTCAGAAAGGAAGAAAGAGAGAGAGAGAGAGAGAGAGAAAGAGAGAGAGAGAGAGAGAGAGAGAGAGAAACATCAATGATGAGAGAGAATCATTGATCAGCTGCCTCTTACACACCCCACACTGGGGATGGAGCCTGCAACCCAGGCATGTGCCCTGGAATCAAACGATGACCACCTGGTTCACAGGTCGATGCTCAACCACTGAGCCAGGCTGGCTGGCAGAGGCATTTTTTTTACATGTAAGTTTCTTAGATTTGTCTGCATAGACAACCGTGGTATCTGCAAATAAATATAGTTACTTCTTCCTTTCCAATCTGTATGCCTTTTATTTGCTTTTCATGTCTTATTGAACAAGCAAGGGCCTCCAGCAGTACATAGAGTATGAGTGATGTTCCCAATCTTAGATAGAAAGCACTGATCTTCACCGTTGAGTATGATGTTAGCTGTGGGTGTTAGCTGTAGGTCTTTATCAAATTATAAAAGTTCCCCTTTATTCAATTTTTTAAATAATTTTTTTGTTTTTTATTGATTTCAGAGAGGAATAGAGAAAGAGCAAGAGAAACATCAATGTTGAGAGAGAATCATTGATAAGTTGCCTCCTGCATGCCACCCTCCTACACCCCCAAGGATTGAGCCTGCAACCCGGGCATGTGTCCTGACTGGGAATAGAACTGGTGACCTCTTGGTTCCTAGGTCAACTCTCAACCACTGAGCCACATGAGCCAGCTGAAAGTTCCCCTCTATTTAGAAAACTCAGGAGGAAGGTAAAATTTTCTTTCTTCTTTACTGCTGTTCCAAGATTGCTTCTTTAAAAAGATTTTTTTTTTCTTTTTTCTGTTTAGAGAACTTCCTTTCGCCCTTCTTTTAGGATACCTCTGCTGGCAACACATTTTTTTTAGTCTTCCTCCACCAGAGAATGTCTTGACTTCCCCTTCCCTTTCCTGGAGGATATTTTTGCTGGAAACAGAATGCTGAATTGGCTGCTCTTTTTCATTCAGCACATCATGTGATGCCACCTTCTTCTGGTCTCCATTGTTTCTGATGCAAAACCCTCACCCCCTCACTTAGATTGGTCTTCTCTATGGTTAACGTACTGCTCTCGATATTTTGCTTTCTTTGGCTTTAGTCTCTAAGTTGGACTCTGGTGCATGGGTTTCTTTGGGTTTATCCTGTTTGGAGATGCACTCCACATCTTAACTATGGAGCTCTTAAAATTTTGTGTTCAGCCATTATTCCTTTGAGTGCTTTTGTCCTCCTCTCTTCTTCCAGAACTCCAGGGCTAGGTCTTTTGTGATAGTCCCAGGGGTCCTTGAGGCATTTTTCACTGACCCAGGCGGGAAGATATATATAGTTTACTGCTGGGCAGGGTGGAGCTCTGGCCCCTTAGGCCTCTGCAGACCCCACCAGCCTCATTGCTCTCTCCAGTGGCCTCCGCTGGGCAGTGGTGAACATCCTGTCCCCACTACTCCTCTGATCCCACCCAAGCAGGGAGGGGGAGTGGCACCCACCCAGGGCGCAGTGTGAAAACCCTGCTGGTGTTTGCAGCTTGCGCTTCTGAGCTGGTGCTGTCGGGCACGTGGGTGGGTGGCCTGGTGTTCTGAGCCAAGA